CCCTCTGTGCTTTTTGCACCTCCTGTGGTGGCAGCAGCAGCTTTCTGCAAGCGCTGAGCCCTTTGTGCATCCCCTCGATGCTCTTCCTCCTGCAGCGGGCTGCTTCTGCTGCCCGGTGCTGGGCTCCGTGCTTTTCCACGTGAAGGGATGGTCACGGGTGGAAAATAAAGACAGCAGCCCCAGCGCTCGCTCTCAGCTCGGGAGAGCTTTCGGTCCAGCTTTCAGGAACCAAACCACAACAGTTCCTGCAGGATGGAGGCCACGGGCATGTCACCATCAGGGCTTTTATAGCCCAGGCTGACGAGAAAGCGCGTTGCTTCCACGGGGAGCCCATTTACGCTATCCTTTTGGACACACCCTTGTTTTTTAGGATGCAGGAAGTGCATCCTTGGGAATGTGGCTGCAGCAGGGCAGCGTGCTGACCCCGTCTGGCCAGGACCCTCCCCTGACCCACAAAGGCTGTGTCGTGCGGTCACGAAATGCCTCGGAGATGACTGATGCCCCCAGGATGGTTTGTCTGACCGGCTTTCCTGGTCCCTGCCCTTCCCAGAGCAGCTGGCCACAACCTCGTGGACTCCAGCTGTACCAAAATGCTTGTGCTGGTGGTTTTTTTCCTGCCCACGGACCGGAGAGATGGGGGCAGGCTGCCCGCAGCCCTGCTGTGTAAGGCTCTCGTGGTGGGCAGGTGGGCAGCAGCCGCCAGGCGTGGGGCATGAGCGGGGCTCCCCCCATCACGGGGAGCTGTGTGGTCGCTGAGAGGGCTCGGAGCAGCAGGAAACACATGTGTCTGCATCTGTTTTTTTTTTTGTTGTTTTGTTTAAAAAGACATTTTTAGCACACCGGCTGCCTTGTTGCCATCGCTGCTGCCCCACGGCTCTGGAGTGGTTTAGCCCGTGCCGTGGGAGACTTGAGGGGTGAGGCAGGGAGATTCAGCACCCGAAAAACACCTCTGGGGAGAGGAGAGACCGGGAGGGGAAAGCAGGCAGCACAGCCCCCTTCTGGGGTGCTGTGGAGGGAGGCGAGCTCAGAGGGGTCAGGGGTAGGAGCCTCGAGGGCTGGCTCAGTTCTGCTCCTTTCGGTCTGGTCCCTTGGAGAGGTGGCTGCTGGCACCTCCAGGCCAGGTTTTACCTGAGCAGTGCGAAGGAAGTGGGTTTACCTCTTTCTCAGAACCCTCCCTCCCCCCAGGGAAAAGGTTATCGCTTTTGGCACCTTGAGCTGGCCGGGGGCGAGCTGGAGACCTCGTGATTCACAGCCCTCCAATTCCCCTGGCAGGTCAGAACAAAACCCACAGGGTGCCCCTCCTGGGTTGTCTCATCTAGAGAAAAAGCATTTCTCCAAAACCAGTACTTTTCGTAGAAAAGTCCCAGAAAGGGTGCTCCCAAGGGGAAGGTGAGCCAGCTCTTGAATCACCAGCCGGCTGTGACGACAGGAGCTGGTTTCCTTGTGTCACGATCCCATGTGATTTCACGGAGCCAGGGAAGCCTCATGGTGAAACTGGAAGCGTGGCGTGGTGTCGGGGCTGAGGCTGGGCTCTCCTCCCTGCCTTTAAAGGACAGCTGCCGACAGCCCGTGCCGTGCCGTCTGTCGGGCATCCGCTGAGCCTGGGTGGCCCCGATACTCCCAAAAAAGAGGTGATAACAGGAGCTTGCCACATTCCTGGGGTTGCTCAGCCCTGACTCACGGCGGCACAGGTGTAAGTGCCTGGCCGTGAGTCAGTGCCGAGGGGAGGCTTCTCCTCCTGCCTCCCAGCCAAGCTCAGCCCGTGCGGCGAGGATGGATGACGGCGGAGACGGTGACGTGCCACGGGGAAGGTCGTGTCCCCTCCCGCCAGCTCAGGAAGGAACACACGAAGCCGGGGAGGCGAGGGGGAAAGGAAGGAGCCAGCAAAGGATGGGCAGCAGGGCAGGTGGCGGTGTCACCGGCGTCATGCCGCCAGGGTTGGGTTCGTGATGGTGTTGGCACAGGTCCTACTGCCGCTTAGCAATCGGGTTTGGAAACCTCTATGTGCCCCGAAAGGGCTCAAATCCTCCTGGGGCTGCCCGGATGGGAGCTGTTCCAGCTGGGGCTGCACAGATGCTCCCCAGTCCCCGTGGTGCAGTCCCAGGGAGCAGGTGAGCTCCCTGCTCTGCCTGATTTTCCCTCTTCATTTCCCCAGGCAGGGTCCCCAGCTGACAAGTTTTATCAGCAGTGAAGGATTTCTCAGGGACATTGCTCTCGGCTGCATCAGCGCTGTGCCCGAGAGGCGGAAGGTCCCCATCTCTTTTTTTTAATCCTAATCTTTATTTCAGTTCTTCCTTTTAAAACGCTGGCGTCAGAGTGGGTCCAAACAACCCCGTCCATTTTAGGGCAGCATCAGGGACTCGTCACCCTACAAGGACTCGCCTGCTGCCCGTGGCCCTGATGAGCATCGGGGGGCCGCGGAGGGGCTGGCAGGATTCCCCTTCAGCCAGGAGGACAGCGGGGCTTTGCAGCTGACTCAGCCCCCGAGCTGGGGATGGAGCTGCTCTGATGAATTTGTCTGTAACGAGCCCGCACTCCCATGCTGTTTCCCTGGCTGGAGCATCTGCAGACAGCTGCTTTGAGGAGGAGGCTGCGAGCAGCTTCTCCTGCATCCAGGGCACTGCCCAGGCTCTGGGCTCCTGGATCCGCAGCAAAGCGGAGCCCTTTGGCTGTCCTTAAAGCACCGATCCCCCGAGCCATGCCCGAGGAGGTCAGCCTGTGCCGTCCTCGGCCCCATTAGGAGCAGAATTTATCTGTGCCACTCTGTTTAGGGTGGGCCTCCCTGCCCTTGTCTGCAGCATCTCTTGTCCTTCATCTCCTCCATTACCTCACCCTCCAGGCATCCTCCGAGATGCACTAGGCTCCCTCCCTCTCTCTCTCGTTTAATATTATTATTATTCTTCAATCTGCTCCGGCGTTCCTCATCTCGCCGGCAAAGCACAAAGCTGCTCTTTCTCCTATTCATCCCTCCGGCCCCGGGTTAGCATTTCAATTGACAATCGTGCCATTGATTTGTGTGCTGACAGTGGGGTTTGCATTAAATGCCAGGCGGAGAGACTCGACCGGGTTAGCAGGGCCCTGGAAATCTGCCCGCCCCCTGTTTTCCGAAGCTTGGGGTCGTCCCCTTCTCTGGGAACGTGGCCTGGGCACTGCGCCGTGCCCTCAGCCTTTACATGCCCTCATCCTCATCTTCCCCGTGGCTCTTGGAGCCTCTCCTACCCCAAAACCATGGCGTGGGACGGCAGGGGCTGCTCCCACGGACCTGCTGGATGTGAAGGGGATCGAGCCAGCACCCTGACCCAGAGGCAGGGGCACCCTGCTCCCGCTCACGGAAACACCTTTGGAAGTCTCCCTTCCAGATCAGGGTAAATCAAAGCTGGAAACGCCTCTGGGCCCTGGCTAGCAGCGGTGTTTATCCTCAGCTCAGTGATTCAGAGCAGTCCCCGGGGAGCAGCAGGATAAATAATGTGTTGGCGCCAACCGAATTATTGTTTTGGGCTTGTTTGTTTCTGGCTGCTTGAAGAGAAGTGTGTCCTTGCTAGGAAGCAGGTTGGCAGAGCTCTCAGGGCTTATGAAAGAGGAGCTGCGAGGGAAGAGCCCCAAAACGAAACCGAGGGTGGCACGATCGCAGCACCCGGTGCGTGCAGGAGGGCGAGAAGTGGGCAGTGGCCATGGATCGAGGGCTGGAGGCTCGAAAAGAAGAGCAAAAGCGTGCTGAAGTCCAGCCAAACCTGCCCGTGGTGTGCTGGCCGTGGGTTGTGCTGGCTGGGGAAGCTTTCCTGCAAGCACCCCACGCGTTAGCCAAGAGCCGCAGCCCGGGGGGTGTCCCAGCCAGCCACCCCGAGCAGCTCCCCCACACCACTGGTGTGCTGAATCGGGGAAAAAGCCCTAAATAATCAGGCATTCAGGAGGCTGAGAGACCTCTAATACTGCTGGGTTTGTTTTTTGTGTTTTTTTTTTTCCTAACTTTGGGCTCTGTGGGGTGTTTCAGGACCCCTGCGCAGCGCGCTCCAGGCGGAGAGGAAGCACTGGGGCTGTGCGGCGATCGTCCTCTGCCCCTGCCAAGTGGCCCTATAAATAGAGGGACACGTGCCACTGATTAATTGCCTGTCTGTGCAGCCAGCCAGCTCCCGAGGCAAACGCAACCTTTGTCTGTCTGCTGGGAACAGCAGCGCTTGGCAGGGGAGGCCCTCTTCTTGGGAAAGAGGGGGAAGAGGCAGATGTGGAAAGGGAGCGCCGGCGAGCTCAGTCCTGATCCGAGGTTTTTCCCCTGGATCCCACTCCCTCTTGGTGATTGCTGCGAACTGCAGCTATGAACAGAGCAGCCTCCAGCTTGCGGCACGTGGTGCTGAGCCCTGCAGGGCTGCTGCAAGCTTCAGAGGAGGCAGCAGCATCCCGGAGGGGCTGCAGGACCTCTGCCTCCCACCGGGCAGAGAGCAAAGAGCCCGGGCGAGGATGCTCGAGGCTGTGCTGGCTGACCCTGCGCCGCTGCAGCCTCCCACAGCTGAGAGGGGAGAGGAGGACGATGCAGGGAACGGGAGCTGGGAAGGCTAGAAGGTGAAAGAGGAAGGGGAGGTGGGGAGGACGAGCTGCCCTTCCTCCAGCTGGGCTCGGCACGCTTCCCGTTTGCAGCAAGCGGTTGTGACACGGGGCCTGGCTCTTGCAGCTCAGCTTTACCTGCTTCCTTCCTTCCCCTGCACCATCGGGGCTTTGACCCCGGGGGTTGCGTTCCCTGGTGGCTCCAAACCCAGTCCCATCTCAGCCTCCAGGGCAGGAGCACGTGGATGAGGCGCTCGCAGCTCCTGCTCGCCTCTTCCAAGAGCCTCCCGCATCAAAGTCCTTCCCCCTCCATCAGCTGCCCCGCAGAGCCCCGTGTCCTTGTTTTTCTCCTCGCTCGCCCCAAGGACGCGGGAAGGGAGCCCAGCAGCCCGAGCTGGCTGCGGCTGTTCTGCAGCAGCCTGCGCCTGTGCTGATGAAAATCTTCTCTCTGCTCCTCCCAGGCGCGAGGGAGTATGCCTTTCCGAGGAGCGAGAAGTATCCCGTCTTTTACCACGAGGAGAACACCTCGGCCATCTACGTTGGGGGAGAGGGGAGGCTTTACTACCACGACTTCGCGACCTCCGAGAACTACGTGGTAAGGGCGCTCTGCCTGGCCCCAGGGCTCCGTCACCAAGCGCTCAGCATCCTTCCCGCAGCCTTTGTGGGCAGCAAAAAATCGGGACTGGAAGGGTTTGGTCTGTGCCCAGCCTGCCCCACCTGCCCACAGCATCGGGAAGTGTCCTGTGCCAATCGTGGGTGGGTTCTTCCCAGGCTGTGGTCCTCCTGAGGTCTTTGCTGCTAGGATTTCTCATTTCCCTTTCTTTAGCATGGGAAGGGATGCTCAGACTCGTGGCACTGGGGAGGAGCTGGGTTCCCCTCCCTTCCACTGTCACTGCCCAGGCTGGTTTTTCTCAAAAGCGGCAAGTTCTGGCTCAGCTGGGCACCAAGATAAAAAAAAGCAGCAGGAAAGCCCCAGGGGCAGTTAGCTTTCACATGACCCATTCTTCTCCTTCTCAAACAACCCAATTGCTGCAGTTCGTGCCCAGAAACTTCCCTCCTCATGCCCAGGAGCAGCGGGGGTTCGTGTGTCCCAACCCTTGGACCCTTTGAGCTGGAGGGTTTGATGTCCTTCTCACTGACATGCTGGCTTTGCTTTGCTAACACATGAGACGCAGCCCCCGTTAGCTGTCTTGGAGAGGGCAGCAATGAAAGCTTCTTTCTTCTTTTATTCCAGGAAGATTTCCCCGTGGAAAATGGAGGACAGTGCTTGAAACCTGGGAGCCCGGTAGGTCCTGCCTGTGGGGGAACAGCGTGTGAGGCTTGGGGGGCTTGGGCTGCTGGGGAAGGGGCTCTGTAAGCTCCTCACGCGCTTCCTCTGGGTGAAGAGCTGCAGTGGAGGGCGGGTGGGATGGTATCGGTACCCTCCTTTGGGTTTAACACCTATGGGAAAAATACGAAGCCACACTGCAGGGTGCTTGGTAGTGCTGCAGGGCCGTGCTCTGCCATCAGCAGCTGCTCACGGGCCTCTTCTTTCTCCTGCAGGAGGACAACAAAAATTTCATCACCTTAGTGGCGAAGCACGGAGATGGGATGTTGGTGTGCGGGACCGGCGCCTGCGCTCCCACCTGCTGGAACTTGGTATGCTGGGGGTCCCTCAGCACCGGGCTCACTGCTGGGGGGACTGGGGCCGAGCTCCCCGCTCCTCCTGGGGTCTCTTCCACCGGACAGCGGGGGCTCTGGGGGATGCAGCACAATTTGGGAGCGGGCCCAAAGGCAAAACAAGAGCTCAGGAGTCCTTGATGCCCAGGGAACTCAAACTCCCTTGAGGAGCTCCTCATGATGGCATGAGCAGAGCCAGAGGTTACCCCAGCTCGCTTGGCTGGGGGAGAATGCAGGCACCTGGCTCTCCTGCCCTGTCCCGGAGTGATTGTGCTTCTTATCTCACCTCATCTCACCTTATCTAAGGCCCTCTCTGTCCTTCCCCAGACGCAGAGGCAGAAGGGCTCTCCGCAGGACGGCAGAGGTCTTGCTCCTTTCACCCCTGACGCGAATTCCCTTGTGGTCGTTGACTGTAAGTCTGGCTGCTCGCGTGCCATGCAATTCGGGTGGGCGAAAAGGGGCACCTGGGAACCCCGAGGGCTGCGTCCCCCTGCTTTAGCTGGCAGTCTTGCTTTTACCTCATCGAGATGCTCGTCCTTCTGCCAGCCCCCTCAGCCTGTCTGCGTGCCCACGCGCTTCTCGGCTCTTTGCTTTCCTCTCCCAAACCCTCCTGCCCCCGCTGCAAACCAGCCTGCTGCAAACGAGCCTTCCTGTCCCGCAGATCCTGACATCTACTCCACCATCAAGAAGAGCCAGCAGAACGGCAAGATACCCCGCTTTCGGCGGGTCAGGGGGGGTGGAGAGCTCTACACAAGCGACACGGTGATGCAGAGTGAGTACAGGAGCGTGGGATCCGCTGCTTTGCCCTTCCCAGCAGAGAATTTGGGCTGCTCGGGTCCTTTCTGGTGAGGGGGAACCCAGTGGCTGCCCCCAGCTCTGCTGCTGCCAGCTGGGGGAACTTCACCTCCTTGCTTCGGGGCCAAAGCAACTGGCACACGAGTTCCTCTTGCTCGGGGCGGGGAGATGGGGAAATGGAGAGAAATGGGTGGCGAGTCCCGTGGCAGGGGCTGGTTGTGTAAAGGTGCCCATCAGCTGCTGGTGGAAAGAGGAAGAACGGCTTCCAGGCGGGGCAGGGACTCTTTCCAAATCCCCAGCCGGCCGTGCCTGCAGGGCAGGAGCCTGTTGGTCTGCACGTGGGGGTGGTGGGAGCGGGGGGAAGGGACCCACCTCCACTTCCACCGCCTTACTGCTTCCCCCAAGCCTCCCTGGGGAACGGGAGATTGTTGAGCCATGGGGCTGATCCCACAGAGAGCTCCCTGCCGTGGGGCTTCTGGCTAACGATGCCCGGAGGGACCCTGCTGCTGCTGGGGATGCCCTTGGTGGCAGCGGTGTGTTAATAGGAAAAGCATCACTGGGTTTTCCACGCCGAACACAAACACCGGGGCAGCTCTCTCCGCCGAGGGAGTATTCCTGCGTGGTTATAGCTCTGCTGTGCAAAAGGGAGAAGGGGGTTGCTTTGTGGCTAAGCAGCCGAGGCTGGGCTCTGGGGACTTGGCCTTCAAAAAAATGGGTGCCTGGGGGAGGGAGGGGGAGGAGAACCCGCTGGGAAGGTGGTGTATGAAGCGGGGGGAAGGTGGTGCATGGTCTTCCATGTGCTGTGATGGGTCGTGTAGAGAAAAAGGGCTTGGGCATGGCCCTTACCCACCGGAGGCTTTCAGATGAGCTTGTGTTCCTGGAGTGTGCGTGCTCAGGACGACGTTTTCTGACGGCTCGCTTCCCTTTTCAGACCCTCAGTTTGTCAAAGCCACCACATTAAAGCACGAAGAGAGCCACCAGGACAAGATTTACTACTTCTTCCGTGAAGACAACCCCGACAAGAGCCTCGAGGCACCCAGGAACATCTCCCGAGTGGCCCAGCTGTGTAAGGTACCGTGGGAGCAGCGTGTGGTGGGGAGGTGAGAGTGTCACCTGTAGGGGACACAAAGCCCTGCCCTGTCTCGCTGGGCTGTTAGAGAGGTGCACAAGCATCGCAGTGCCCAGTGTCAGCTCTATCTCTGGAGCATCCCCCAGTTATCCACCCAGGATGCTGGATGGAGAGGGCTTTGTGCTCTTCTCTGCCAACCCCTGACTCCCTGCTGCTTCTCCCTCCCAGGAAGACAAAGGGGGAACCAGTTCGCTCTCCGCTTCCAAGTGGACCACCTTCCTGAAGGCCAGCTTGATTTGTGTCGACCCCGCCACCAAGGGCAACTTCAACTGGCTGCAAGATGTCTTCTTTGTCCCGGCGAGCAACTGGAGGGAATCCAAAGTCTACGGGCTCTTCACCAACACCTGGTGAGGGGCTTTGCAGGACGGGGGGATGCTGGAAGTCCTTGCTTTCAGCCCTGTGTTCTCTCTGGCAGGCACGTGGCTGGAAAATTGCCCAAATGGACACGGGGCAGCAAAGTTTTGACACGTGCAGCCATGCCCCAGGTGATGGCCAGTGCCTCCCTGACCCTCTCTGCCTTGTTGCCCCCAGGGGAAGCTCTGCTGTGTGTGTCTACTCCTTCGGGGACATTGACGACTGTGTTTCGGACCTCCAAACTCAAAGGCTACAACGGTCCCAACCCAGAGATCAAGCCTGGGCAGGTGAGTGGGGGATGAAAGATGCCCACGTCACGAGGAGAGCTGCTCCCTGCCCTGCCGCTGCTGCTGCAGGAGTAGCTGGGGCAGGTGAGGGTCCCAGCCAGGCGGGCGCCAGGTTTGGACGGGCTGCAGGCACTGCGGGAAGGATCTGAGCTTCGTTGCTGGAAACATGAAAAGGCTGGATAAGGTCCAACACCTTTGTAGAAAGAAAAGGCAGAGAGGCCCTTCTGTGCCGTGGCAAACAGGTCGGAGTGCTTCTGCGTGAGGCTGGAGGACAATGTCCTGCATTGTGCTCGCCGACACAAGGCATTTGTCCACCCCGATCTAGCCCAGCCCTTAATTTTTCGATACGCAGCTGACCTGGCAGGAAATAGCAGCGTGGGGAGAGGCTGCTGGGGGATGGCAGGGTCTGAATCCCACAAGCTGCAACTTTTGCAGCAGGGGAAGGGCTATGGGACCGCCAGGTTTGTGGCTAAGGTGTTTGCCCCGTGCTTTCCCACCTGCTTTGGGATCCCGTGCACCTGAGGGGGCAGGCAGCGGGCTCTGTGCTGGGGTGGGAGGCCCTGCGCCCTGTCCTTTTCCCTTCTGCCCCCAAATGTCACCCCCAGGGATCTGCCTGCCTCTGACGGTGCCTCTTGTTCCCTCAGTGCGTTTCCTCTGGGCAGCACACCCCCAGCGAGACCTTCAAGATCGCTGACAGCCACCCGGAGGTGGAGGACCGGGTGGAGCCCCTCGCCCCCAGCAGGAGCCCCCTGTTCCACAACAAGCACCGCTACCAGAAGATCGGGGTGCACAAGGTCTCGGTGAGGGAGGGACAGCAATACACCGTGCTCTATCTGGCAACAGGTACTGCGAGCCTTTGGGATCCCCTGGCTGCTTTCCCCTTGGGGCAGGGAGCCAAGGGAGCTTGAGAGCAGAACCCCAACACCCGGGATTTACCCTGCTGGGTGGCACAGAGGTCTCAGGCTGAGTGTTTTTAGGGCAGACGAGGGGTAGCAGGGCCCTCCCCAGGTGCAGTTTTTACAGTTTTATGCTGCCAAGCAGAGATCCTTTGACAAAGGGCCCCGTGCTGTCACCTCCTGGCCCTGCTCGCTCTGGTGCAGCGGTGCAGAGTTCCTGCGGCTCCGGCTGGAGGCATGGCCAGCTCGTCACAGCCACCGGGGTCCCCACGGTGCTGGGCCAAGCCCGAGGTTCCCCTGCAGGCAAACAGGGTGGCAGAGCAAAAGCTCCATCCTCTGTGCGAAGCTGGAGAGCTGAGTCAGGGCCGCCTGGCTTCTCAAGTGGTCTAAAAAGGTGTTTGAAGGGTCCCTAGCGCAGTGCTCCCCTCTCTTGCTGCCCAGGCTGGCGCCCTAGAGCTCTGCTCATCCCTTTCCTGCACCTGCATTCTGTTCCTTGGCTTTCTGAGAGGACTTTCCCCAGCTTTTGTTTCCCAGTCTGTGATTAAAAAAACGCAGACGAGTCTCGGTAGGTGGCCTGGGTTGGGCTAGGGCCCACCCATGCTCATATTGTTCCCGTGCCCCAGGCGTTAGCTGAGTGCCTGCAGTGCCTTCCAGATCCCTGCAAGGCAGCTTGTTCCACGCTGCAGGGCTTGGCAGGCAGCTTCCCACCCACGCTGGGGTGGGTGTGAAGGCAAGGGCCAGCACCTGGGGCGAGAGGGGGGGTCCTAATCCCTGCCTGGCCCCTCCTGGGGTCCCCTCTTTGTGTTCAGTGGGGAAGGGGTCAGCTTTTTGGGAAGAGAAAACCAGGCAACAACTAAAAGAGGGTAAACGGTGAGGATGCCCGAGCCCTGTTGTGCCAGGATCAGTCTTCCCACACCTCTAACAAACAAACCGACTTTCTTAAATCACCGGTTTGTGATGTCATTTAACCAGGGAGGGAAGTTGGTTTACTTACAATCCAGAAATGCAGAAGTCCCGGTCTCAGCCTCAGGCAAGTGGTGAGCCAGAGCAGGGCAGCGATCAGATCAGAGATAAGTGGGAGAGCAGTTGGTTTTCCCTCTCCCAGGCCATTATGGTGTGGCTGAACACAGCCAGCACGGCCAAGTCCCAGGGGGTGACAGGGGAAATTGGTTCCTCATGGCTTTCGGCTGGGAGGCTGGCAAGGCTCTGCCATGGGAAGCACTGTTGTTTGTAGGATGATTTCCCAGAAGCAGAAAAAAAAAACAGCCCCTTCTGAGAAAGGTTCCAGGCTCCTCTGGGGTGCTGGCTTCAGGAATACAGCCTCGTCTGGCTCTGCAGAATGGGCCTCGTCTGCCACAGCAGGGGCTGAGGTCCCGGAGCTGGTTCCCTGCCCTCGTTCCCCCCCGGAGGCTGCAGTCCCCCCTCCTCGCCTTTCCGCTCAGCCTCCTTCACCGGGGTTCTCCCGTCTTTCTTTGCAGACAAGGGATCCATCCACAAGGTGGTGGAGCTGCCGGAGGGGGTGCAGAACATCATGGAGATCCAGGTCTTCTCCAGGAAGGAGCCCATCCAGTCCATGATCCTGGACCACGAGAGGGTGGGTGTCTGCCTGGCCAGGCTCCGGCGTTAACCACGGCAGTGCAGGCAGGCACGGACAGCTCGATGCCAGCCCCGAGCCCTGGAAGCAGCCCCTGGCTGGGTTTGGGGGGGATCTGCTGCTCCGTCCCGGAGGCGACAACTGATGCAGCAAACTTCTTTATACCTCGGGCTGCTGGGGGGAGGATGGCTGCTTGCCCTGCCACGACAGGGAGCAAGCTCCGTGCGGCTGCGCTGCCTGGAGAGCGAGCAGCCCTGCTGGTGGGATCTCCAACCCGGTGCCGCAGCGACTGAAGCTGTGGGAACATTTCCTCCAAGAGGTGCCAGACGCTCCTACGGCGGTGCCGGGGCAGGGTGCCGCCTCGCTCAGCCCCTCTGCTTCTTTCCTGCAGGCGATGCTGTACGTGGGCTCGGCGAGCAGGGTGGTGGAGGTGCCCATGGCCATGTGCGGGCTGTACCGCAACAACTGCGAGAGCTGCCTGCTGGCCAGGGACCCCTACTGCGGCTGGGCTGGTGGGCGCTGCCAGGCCGTCCATCAGAACCCGTACGTGGCTCTTTCATCTCCTTTATCTCAAGAAGTGCCTAGCCCGTTCCCCTTCCTGGCCCCATTCCCCTTCCCGGCCCCGTTCCCCTTCCTGCGGGTGGTTTTGGGGCCGTTTTGCCATCAGAGGCAGGTCCCATCGTGTCCCGGCAGTACCAGCACACAGCTCTGATCCGGCCCTCCCGCACCACCCCTGCTCCGTGGGAGGAGGTGTCAGTGGGTTCCCTACAACCCGAGCACCCGGCTCCTCTCCTGCTGCTCGAAATGCACGCGGCTCCATCACACCACGGGCTCTGCCCCATTACGGTCACCCTCAGAGAGGAAAATTAAGATTGTGGTGGTCGGTGGTGGTGAGGTGAGGCTGCTGGGTCTCACGTTTGTCATCCACCAACCTCCTGAGCACGGGGGTGGTGTTTTTCCCCACCCAGCTCGGTGTTTAAGCTTTCTGACCCACCACGTCCCGTAAGGGCCATCCCTTTTGTAGCCCCAGAGCGCGGTTTCCCTGCTGTTACCGCGTTGTTAATGCCTGTTCCCGTCTGCCAGGGAGGTGCACCAGAACCTGGACCTGAACCCGTGGCAAGGAAAGTGCCAGAAGGGCAAAGTTACGGAAGGTATGTGAAAGGTTTGTCCATGGGGTGTCTGAGACAGGCTGACTGGTTCCCAAATGTTTGTAGGGGTTGGACAGGCTGTTACAGCCCGCTGCTGGTGAGCTCACGGTGACCGCACCGCAGCCGGGACACCGAGCGTGTCTCAGCGTGGAGCTAACCACTGGGTGATGTGTTTGTTAGCTAAAAACCAAACAAACAATGTAGGTCAGGCCTGCAGGGTTCAATCCCACGAGCTTGAAGCCTCTGGTGGCCAAGCTTGGGCCCTCAGGCTGAGGCTGAGACACCCACGACCTAAACGACCCTACCCAACTGCGGGGAGCAGCAGACGTGATGCAACATTGAACCTCCTACCCTACAGCCAGCAGTCTGGCTGCTGTGCAAACACACCGAGCTCACAAACAGCCCTTCGTGGCCAAGGAGCTGTCAGCACATCTGGAAACGGCTACGCTGCCATAAACCATCTTGCTTGGCCTCGTTTCTCCTCCGTGGCAAGGCTTGGTGCTGCCGTGGGGGGAGCTGGGGGCTCACGCTGGGGGTGCTGCTGCCCAGGGAGAAGAGTCCCGAGGACTTCAGGTGTGGTTCACGCCCTGCTGTTATCATTAATTGGCCATGTAATGTGTCCTCAGTGACCCACATGTTCTTCCTTCTGGACTTTGGAGGCGCCACTCTCATCAAACCCTTCTCCCTCTCTCCCAGCAGACACCTACCAGAACATCACCGTCGTCCCTTTCTCCCGCTACTTCCTCAACTGCCCGGTGGAGTCCCACTACGCCACCTACAACTGGTACCACAACGACACCCTCATCAAGACCTGCAACAACACCCACCCGCAGCCGGACTGCTTCTACTTCATCCAGAACGTCAGCCACGCTCACTACGGCCACTACCTCTGCGAGTCGGAGGAGGACGGCTTCAAGCAGGCGCTGGTGAGGGAGCGCCTGGTGAACCAGCTCCGCTTCATGTCGCAGAAGGGCCGTGCCACCACCACGCTGGGCTCCTGGCTGCCGCTGCTCCTGGCGGTGCTGCTGGTGGAGCTCCTGCACTGAGCGGGACGGGGAAGTGTTCCCACCTTCCCGGTGCTGCTGCTGCTCTCCCCGCGCTTCCCGTCCTGGTCCCGTTCTCGTAGGCGCTCCTCGGACGTGAATCGTTGTCCCCAGGGGGGTCCTGCCGCTGCGGGCAGCAGCCCCTCGTCTTCGGCCTTGATGGAAGAGAGAGTGGGAGAAGAGGCAGCTACAGGGCCAGGCGGAGCAGGGGATGGGGGGGGGGAAGGAAGGGGCACCCAGTGGCACGGGGGACGCTCGCTGTGCCAGAAGCGGGAGCGGGGTGGCTCCTTGTGTGCCACTGCTCCCCGAGCGCATCCTGAGCGTGCACTGGGCGCAGACTTTGTTCAGGGGACTATGCAGATGTGCATGCACTGATCCTCAGGGCACAATGGCTCCTCTCTTCGGGAACCTGCATGTGATGAAGAGGAGGAGTCAGCCCTTGGCCTTTCGGACTGTTTGATCTGTGCTTCCCTCCAAGTGGGGACTGACGCCTCCAGGGTTTTTCGCGGCTGACGCCTGCCCGAGCTGGCAAGCAGCTGGATTTGCTCCCAGTGACACTCGCCAGTCCCCTCCTGCTCCGGGAGGGTTTTGTCCTTTCTCTGGCAGGTGGCTGTGCCCTGGGGGGGCATCGGGGCTCACCTGCACGGAAGGGCAGGCACAGAGTCAGCGTTTTGCATGGAAAAGGCTTGGAGGATGACTAGCTTTGGGGTGTGGGGAGGGGACAGACCAAAGGGTCCTCGCTTTCCCGGAGCCTGAAAGGAGAGGTGGAAGCGGAGCCCCAACCAAACCCGGGAGGCCCTGGGAAGACGTTTAAACGCACAACTCTGCCGCAGGCAGCTAAGGGCATTGAGCTAAGCAGCAGGCAGCCCTGCTCCCGGAGCTCCCTCCTCGCCAGGGACTGGGCTCCCTCAGGGAAAGAGGAGCCAGGCTGCAGATCTCAGGGCGCTGCAGGCAGGCAGGGGGGCTGCAGCCACTTCCACCCGCCGGGAGCTGCATGAGGAGCCAGGGGAGGGTGGCAGATCCCTTCCCCTGGGCTCTGAGGCCTCCGAGCAAGACTAAACTGTGAAAAACGGGATGCTCTCCCTGCGCCCGCGCGCACGGGGCGATCCCGCACCTTGTCCGAGCCTTTCCCAGCCCTCTTTGAGTTCTGAAAACCCCCGGCCTCAGGCTGTGCAAGGCAGGGGCGTCGTGTCCAATGCTTCTGCTGCCCCCTCAGAGGCTCTGGGTGGGAAGAGCACTGGGCGGGCTGTGCCCAGCCGAGCCCCGGGGTTTTTTGGCAAGGGGGAGAGATGCCACGAGCGTCTCGTGACTATGGACAACAGGCCAGAGCTTCCTACTGCACTACATTTCCACGAAACCTCCCCGAGTCTAGGACAGAGCTTCTTACATCTCTTCTCAAAGCACTTTAACTTTGTGAACTAACAAATATCTATTTATTATCGATGACTCATTACCATACTTCTATAGTTTTTTTAAAAGAGAAAGTGGGTTCGAGTTCGAGAAAAGAGGAAGAAAAAAAAAAAAAAGAACAGCTACCAAAAAACCCTTTCAGACCTGTCGACCAAAGTGAGAATGAGATCAGTGAAATAAAGAATGGAAAAAAAAGCGTGTGGGTGACGTACTTCTTGCTGGGAACCGAGGGGTGCTCGGTGCTGGGGTCCCCCCCTGTCCCCACACCGCTTCCCACCGGGGGGTCACGCAGAGAGCGTCCTCTCCACGGCTCTTTGAACCCTCCAGGTTTCCTGTTGATATTTCGTGTGCTGCTTTTTTTGCGGCCCTTCCTGTTCCTTATGGGTCAGACCTCGCTGCCCTCCCCTCCCCTCCGGCAGGGTGCTCGCCCCCCGTGTGAGCGCTGCGCTCCTCTCCGCCTTGCGCATTTGTGCAGGGGAATCGCAGGCACGAGAAGGAAGCGGGCGCTGAGCTCTCCCCGTGGGGGCTGTGAGGATAAAAATACCGAGTGCTCGTGGGCGCCGAGCCGTGCCGCTGCCTTCAGCTGGCGGCTGGGGCGGGAGCGCCTCGCTTTGACTTGGAAATTTTATTTTTCCTGGTCAAAGAGTTGCAGCCGCCTGCTTTCGGGGCTTCAAAGGGTCACGGAATTATTTTAGAGCCGTGCCTGGCCGCATTTCCTCGTGGTGCTCAGCCCCGAGCCCCTTCCTGCAGGTGGCGGCGGAAAACGTTTGGGAATTATCTGGGTTTGCGGGAGCTCCTCTTGCGCCTCCCTCCCTGGCTGCTCGGAGTTGTAAATCAGGGGGAGATTCAGCTGCTGAGACCCAGCCGGGTTTGGCAGCCGAACGTGAAAGACTCCCCTGCCCTATTTCTTCCTGAGCGTGGGGTTTGGCAGCGAACTTGGCGGCGGTGCCATATGCGGTGCCTTGACGTAGAGACGGAGAAAGGAGCCCGAGAGGCGGCGTTTGCAGCCGGAGCTAAAACGAGAAGTGTGAAGGCAGAAGGAAGGCAGGGTGGCCGAGAACGGGGACGCGGGGCTGTGGGAACGCAGCTCGGGCTCTCTGGGCTCCACCATCCTGCCCCTTCCCCAGCCCACCCCTTTCCCAGTGTTAACGGGACAAAAGAGAGCCGCGTTTGTTATTTTTACTTAGAGTATAGCGTCAAGTGTTTTTATTCTTAGCCGTTTCCCCCCCCCAACCGCCGGCTGTTTCCGATGGATACAATGAGCTGAAAACCATGGGGCTGCTGAGCAAACACACGTGCGTGGTCACGGCGGCCTTCGGGGCTGCTGGAGGGAAAAGGCAGGCGTTGAAAGGGGAAAAACCAGGAGCTCGGCACCTCGCCCCGACAATGGCCCCATTGTTCCAGCAGCTATTTTTGGGGAGGCTGCTTTGAATGCGGGTGGGTGTGCTCAGGAAGGCCAGGTACGGCGCGGGCTCTGCGGCTCCCCACCAGCTTCCTCTTGGGATGGAAAAGGAGGGGATGAATGCAATGAGTGGGTGCCATCAGCCTGGAACAAAAGGCTTGTAGGGTTTTGCCTTGCCTGGGCTTTGTGGGGCTGCCGGAGGGAGCCGGCGCCTGCTGCGGTGTCGGCATCCGGAGGCTGCGGGGATTATTTGTGCCGCTGACCTTGCGTGCGGCCTTGGAGGCTGCTCTGCACGGAGGGCTTGCCGGAGAGGACAATAGACCCAGGAAATCCTGCAGACGCAAGGATTTGGGAGAAACCTTCCCATTTCTGCCCCTGACCGCTCGCCCTGTGTGTGCGCACGGCCGGGAGCGCACGGTGTGACCCGCGGGGTCTGCACCCAGAGCGTGCCCTTCGCAGCCAAAAACTTTCTCTTTCTAAACAAAGCAGGCTGAAAATCACCTCCTCCAGCCCCAAATTGAAGCTCTGGGGTTTTCTGGGCAGGAGTTTTGCTGGTAAAACTTTCCCAACCACTAAACAAAACTGAAATGAATGGATTTGTCACCGGCTCGGCTCGGGGAAAGACCGCACAGAGAAATCACTGCAGGAAGAAAAAACCCGCTGGAAAACACACGAGCAATGCGGTCTCCATCCCCACATGTGGCTATGGGCTGTGAGTTTGGTGTAGGGAAGCAATTTAGCTGGCCATACACCTTTCCTGTGATAAATCATGGCATTCCCAGCACTGGGCACTCCGGACTTACGGGCAGTGACGGGGATTTTCTAGGCAGGCCGGGCTTCCTGGGCTGTGCAGGGGCGAGGGGGGGTTTCGCCCCCCTAACCCCAAAACCCAGGGGGGTTTTCAGCACCTCCTGCTGCTCAAGGTGTGATTTCGGGCAGGGGGTGCAAAGGGCTGGCTGTCACCTCGCTTGGGAGAGGACAGAGCGAGGAAAGCCCCACAGGGGAAGAGTGACTGTGACACCCACATTGGGCTGAACGCAGCCCCCGGGGGAGGTGTGGGGACAAAACCCCACTGCAGGCACCCTCCTTGACGTGGGGGAGGCACCAAAGAGCGGAGCCCCCGTGACGTTCAGCAGCCCCATGAGCAAACGCGGTCACAGCCACGTCCCCGCTTTTTCCGAGCACCTCTCCAAAACCATTTCCTGCCCCCATTTGATTGGGGACCCCCAACCGCAGCAGTTCCTGGGCCCGGAAACACCAACCTTATATGTATATAAATATATATATTTATATTTATTTTATTTTTTTCCAGGAGTTTCATCCCCAGCAGCACTCGGGGATGAACTCCCTGAAAAAGGCGCCCCTCAAATTTTGGAGACGTGCCGGAGAGGCGCAGGATCCCAATGGGGAACGTGACCCCTTGGGGACATGGGGACCACCTTGGAGCTCCTGCCAGGGGTCCTCCAGCACAACTGAGCCAAATTGCCCAAATTCCCCCAAACGGCCTGTCCCGGAGGATGAGCGGCGGGGACGGGCGCGCTGGTGGCAGTGGATGGGGCAGGCGCGCCACCAGGTGCCCATCGCGGGGCTCGCAGCCGGCTCAGCCTCGGATGCTCCCTGGGAAAGTTTGCTCCCTAAATAATAAAAAGGGGTTGCTCCTCGAAGAAAAAAAAAATATATTAAAATTAAACTAAGGGCTTGCTACTAAAAATAAAGGGGGTTTGCCCCCACGGTGCCCGGGGAGCCCTTCGTGCCCCCCAGCCTGGGGTTCCCCGGGGGGCTGTGGCACCGTTAATCCAGCTCGGAGGGGCTGGAGCTCATCCCGTGGGCAGCTCTGGTTGAGACCTCGGGAACTTTCTCACTTCAGGAGTTCCTGTAGTTGCACAAGGCTTTAGGGCTTGGCCGTGCCCTCAGCGTGAATCCTGGATTCCCGAGGGGGCCGTGGAGCGGGGCTGGTGCCCACGCGAGCAGCTGAAGGCTGCTGGATGATTTCCTGCAAGCTGCCCGCCTGCTCCCAGCCCCGGTCACCTCCAGCACCCCAAGGACCCCTCAGGATTCCCCCTTTGAGCTTCCCCCAGGGACACCTCAAGGGGACGCCCCTGATTGTGCACTCCAAGCTCCAGCAGCACCTACAGCAATTTTATCCTTTATTTTGCAGGGGAAACCAAACCAAACCAAACCAACCAACACTTTGATGCTGGGCGAGCTCTCTTTAATTTCGGAATAGCTTGCAGTAGGGTTGCAGGGGCCACCAGTCAGCACTCCCCGCGTTGCTCTGGGGAGCTTTGCAGCACCTCCAGGGCAGGACCGTGCTCCCCAGGTGCTGCCCCCAAAGTAAGCCCCCACCGTCCCGGCCCTTTTGGGGCACCTCGCCAGCTCCCAGCCCCGTGACGCAGCAGGAGGCGTCTCCTCGCCTTGAGCCTCGGCTGGGTGGGATAAGAGCGAGGTCACCCTCGCCACCCCCTCGCCTGCTCCCATGCTCGCCCGGGCTGTACCCAAACCGGGCGGCTTGTGGCCCCGCAGCCACCCCGGGGGCTGTCGCCGGGCTGGGGGGGTCCCCGTCCCCGGGGGGGTCCCTGTCCCATCTCACAGCCCCCCAGCCCCAGCCCTGGCAGCTCGTCCCTTCGAGCAGGTGCCGGGGGAGCGGCGGGGCGGCTGGCTCAACCTCTACCACTTCTGGCAGGAGGGCGGCTTGCACAACGTGCACAACATCATGGCACGCAAGTTCCAGCGCTTCGGGCCCATCTACAGGTGAGGATCCTGCCCCGATCCCGCTGCTCCAGGCTGGGACAGGAGGGTGTTAATGGGGCACGTTCGCCCCGACACCACGGGGATGGGAGGGAGCGGGGTTTTCACCCAGGGAAGGGCTTTGGGTGGTTTTGGGGTGCAACCCTGCTGTCTCCTTACCCCCCCCCGTGGTGGCAGGGAGAAGCTGGGTGTCTACGAGAGCATCAACATCATCAGCCCCCGGGACGCGGCCACGCTCTTCAGGTCGGAGGGGATGATGCCCGAGCGCTTCAGCGTGCCCCCCTGGGTGGCTTACCGCGACTACCGCAACAAGCCCTACGGCGTGCTCCTCAAGTGAGCCCCCAAAACCATGCCCTGGGGTCCCACCGCCCCCTGAGCCATCCCTGGAGCTCAGGGCGGTGGGGAGCTGCTGCAGCAGGAGGGTGCTGGGGGTGTCGGATGGGGGCTGCCCCCCACCCCGTGCCGCTTGTGACCCGCAGGACGGGGGAGGCTTGGCGCTCGGACCGCCTGACCCTGAACAAGGAGGTGCTGTCGCCGCGGGTGGTGGAGGGCTTCGTGCCCCTGCTGAGCGAGGTGGGCGAAGACTTCGTCCGGCGGGCACGGGCACAGGTCCAGAAGAGCGGCCGGGAGCGCTGGACGGCCGACTTCAGCCACGAGCTCTTCCGCTTCGCTCTGGAGTGTGAGCCCCCCCCAGACCTCTCCAAAACGCACGGGGGATGGGTGGTGCAACGTGCCCTGCCCTGCTGCATCCTCAGAGCACTTCTTCCCCAAAGAATTACATTTTTAGGGCTGTCCTCTCTCCCGCTCGGCAGCAAACCACCTGGCAGCAGCATTTTACCAGCACCCACACTGCCAGGGTCCCCATAGCCACGGGGAGGCTGCGTTTGGCCACAGTGGAGGGTGGAGGGGCTGCGTTTGGGTCTCCCCCCGTGCTGGGTGGGCTCACGGGTGCCGTGCTTGCAGCCGTGTGCCACGTGCTGTACGGGGAGCGGCTGGGGCTGCTGCAGGACTTCGTGGACCCCGAGGCGCAGCGCTTCATCGACGCGGTGACGCTGATGTTCCACACCACCTCGCCCATGCTCTACCTGCCGCCCGCCCTGCTCCGCGGCCTCAACGCCAGGACGTGGCGGGACCACGTCCACGCCTGGGATGCCATCTTCACCCAGGGTGAGCTCTCCTCCTCCCCGGTGGCTCCCGAAGCCACCAGCACAGGGCAGGGACATCCTCAGGTGCCACCTCTGGTGGTGGCACCGGCACCACCCGGCACCATGCCCCTCTTTGCCCCAGCCGACAAATGCATCCAAAACGTCTACCGGGACCTGCGGCTGCAGCGCAAGGGCAGCAGGGAGTACGGGGGCATCCTCTCCAGCCTCCTCCTGCAGGACAAGCTGCCCCTGGACGACATCAAGGCCAGCGTCACCGAGATGATGGCGGGCGGCGTGGACACGGTCAGGGGCAGGGCGCGGGGTGGCGGGGACGGGGCGGCGGCGGCGCTGAGCCCTGCTGTGCCCCGCTGCAGACCTCGGTGACGCTGCAGTGGGCCATGTTCGAGCTGGCGCGGTCCCCGGGCACCCAGGAGCAGCTGCGGGCGGAGGTGCTGGCCGCCAAGCGCCAGGCGGCGGGGGACAGGGTGAAGATGCTGAAGAGCACCCCGCTGCTCAAGGCGGCCATCAAGGAGACGCTCAGGTAGCCGCGGGGCACGGGGGTGCAGCCAGCCCCTTCTCCTCCCCAAATCTCCGGGGGAAGCCGGGGTGATGCTGGTGGGACGGGCATCCCGTAGGGTTCTATGCACAGAGGAGGGAGGCAGCTGTCCCCAAAAGCAGGTGTGTGTCCCCCCTTTTTCCTGTCCCGCAGGCTGCACCCCGTGGCGGTGACGCTGCAGCGGTACACGGTGCAGGAGGTCGTCCTGCAGGACTACCGCATCCCCCCCAAGGTGAGCTCCAGGCCACGGGGTGGGAAGGGGAACGGGACCAAAATGAAGCTTTCCTCCCCCCATCTGCTCGTCCCCGAGCTCCGAGCACAGCTGGGAGCCCGCTGTGGGGTGCAGAAGGGGCACAGGGTTGGGTTTAGCGTGGGCAGCTCCCCATGGGGCTGATCCTTTTCCCCAGACGCTGGTGCAGGTCGGTCTCTACGCCATGGGCCGGGACCCCGAGGTCTTCCCCAAGCCGGAGCAGTTCAGCCCCGAGCGCTGGCTGCTGCCGGGCTCCAAGCACTTCAAGGGGCTGAGCTTCGGGTTCGGGCCACGGCAGTGCCTGGGGCGCCGCATCGCCGAGCTGGAGATGCAGCTCTTCCTCATGCACGTGAGAACTCGGGGCTGGGGGCGGTTTCGGAGGGCGTAGAATCATAAAATCTACATTGGGAAACAACTTTCCATCTAGGTTGGAAAAGTCTTTCCATCTAGGTGGGAAAAGGCCTTCAAGATTCCCCAAAAGTCACCAAGTCCCAACAATAAGTCCCATCACTAAACCTCGTCCCTTAGTGCCAAACCCCATCCCTTAGTGCCCCAGCCCATCCCTTAGAGCCAAACCCCATCCCTTGGTGCCCCAACCCTGCCCCTTAGTTTCTCCCTGTAGGGGACCGGGGAGGATGCTCTGGGCATCCCCGTCCCCGCCGCCTCCCTCCTTCTCTTCCTTCCTCCCACCCCAGATCCTGGAGAACTTCAAGATCGAGACCAAGCGGGCGGTGGAAGTCGGGACCAAGTTCGACCTCATCCTCCTGCCCGACAAACCCATCTACCTGACGCTCCGGCCCCTGCAGCGCCCGGCGTGAGCGGGGCACCTGGTGGCCCCCCTCCAGTCCCAGCCTGGGGACGCCTCCAGCACCTCCAGCCCTGGCTCCAGCCCCACGGGACGAGGGGGGAAAGCTGCCCCCCTCCCCGTTTTGCTTCGCTTCCCTTTTGCTCTGTAATTTCTAAAAGCAGCAGCTCTTTGCCATGAGCATGAATTTCGCATCTCCGAGTGTCTCCGGCGTCCTGCCCCCGAGGACCCCCTAGGGCAGGGGGTCCAGGGTCCGGGGTCTCCTCGGGGGGAAGGTGGAGCCTGGGGGGTGTTTCTGGTGGGAGAAGCGAACACATCTTGGGGGTCTGCCACCCCCCTGGGGTGCTTTAGGGAGAGGGGTGCAGCCGTGACGGGGAGGGCAGCAATACGGGGGTGCTGGTGACCCTTGGGGCCACGCTCCCACCCCCGTCCTGCCCCAATCCTTCAGGGAAACCGAGGCATCCCCCCCGGTGTGGGGCTGGGCGGTGAGCCCCACGGGTGCCCCCGTGTCCCCAGGGTGCTCACCGAGGTGGGGATGTGGGGAGAGCAGGTGGCCGAGCCCCCGAAGCCGTGCTCCTGCTCCAGCAGCCGCGTGCCCAGCTCCTGCTTCTCCCGTCCCCACCTCCTCGCCGCCTCCTCCAGCTGCGATGCACCAAAATTAGGCTGCTCCCCCCTTATCCCCCCCAAATCAGGGGGTGCCGGGGTGCTGCCCACCTGCCTCTCCATCACACGCCCTCGGGCTTGTGCCTCCTCCAGCCTGGCCAGCAGCGACAGCTTCTCCGTGCCACCGAAGATGTCCCGGGTGCCACAGGAGGCACGGGGGGCCATGGGGGGCGATGAGGGGCGCAGGGGTCTCGCCAGCTCCTCCGCAGCCTGCGGTTCTCAGCCAGCAGCAGGGCGTGCAGGTCCCCTGTGTCGGGACAGGGGGGACCCCCTGGGATGTGCCCTCCATCCCCCGTGCAAGAGGATGGGGCTGGAGGGCTCTGGCCCCGTGGATCCTATGGGGTGGAAGCAGCAGCAGGGGGGTGGCCACCCTGATCCCACTGACACCTACCTGCTGGTTTCTCGCTGCTCATGGAGAGCCTGTCCTGCAGCACCCGCTCCATCACCTTGATCACCTGCGGGAGCAGCAGGGATGTCCCCGTGTCCCCAAGGCGGGGGACAGCTCGCGGTGGGGTGGCGGTGGCCCTCACATCCCCTCTGTTGCCATCAGTTTGGCACCGGATGGCTCTGAAGAGCCGAGAGGGGCAGGGCCTGGCCGTCCTTGCCCCCCAGCCCCCCAGGCCCCCCCCACTCACCTTCTCCTGCTGCCTCACCGTCTCCTCCAGGCCCTTCGCCCTGGCCGCCTGCTCCTGGCACCTCCTGAGGGCGGCTTGCTGCTGCCGGTGGGCTCGCTGGAGCAGCACCAGCTCCTTCTCCCGGTCATTTTTCTGCGGGGAAAAAAGGGAAAAAAAACCCCGAGGGCCTCCGCACCATGCTGGGGGTGGCGGGGACCAACGCCCCCACCCCATCCCCATCCCCGTGGGTGCCGGTACCCGGATCAGCTCGTTCTGCAGCTGCTGCACGCGGTCCTTCAGCCGCCGCATCTCCATCGCGCCCGCCACCAGCTCGCCCTTCAGGGTGGCTGCCAGAGCCCCAGGCCACATCCTCAGCTTGTGGGACACGACCAGGGGACAGCGGGGTCCCCCGCAGAGGGGCGTCCCCTTTTCCGCCCTCCCTGACCACGCACCCAGGCGGTCCAGGACCTCCTCCCTGGTCATCACGTCCACGTCCAGGTCGGCAAGCAGCGCGCCGCCCGGCTCCTCGTGCCCGGCCAGCCGGTGCCGTAGGTGCCCGTTCTCCACCTCCAGGCTGGTGACGTGCCGGCGCAGGGACAGGAGGTCTCCTGCCATCCTCTTCAGCGCCAGGCGGTACCTGCTCGCCTCCTGCCAGCCCGGAGCACAGCCGGTGGCACCCCAGCACCAGCGGCACCCTGCTGCCGGCACGGGCTTCCCCCGGCACCCAGCCCCACGGAGCCGAGCTGAGGGTTGTCCTGGGGGTCAGAGCCACCTCGGAGGGGCTCAGAAACATCCAGTCGTTCCCCTCGTGTAACCAACCATCCATCCATCCCTCCTTCTCTTCATCCATCCTTCTCTTCATCCATCCATCCATCCATCCATCCATCCATCCATCCATCCATCCATCCATCCATCCATCCATCCATCCATCCATCCATCCATCCATCCATCCATCCCTCTGTCCTTCTCCATCCATCCCTCCATCCCTCCACCCACCTGCATCCCTCTCTTCTCCCTCCCTCCCCCCATCCTCCCACCCTTTCCTTCCTCACCTCCCCCTTCTCCACACTTCCCTTCCCCAACTCCCCCCTCCCCAGCCCTCCTGCAGCCCCCACCTCATCTCCCCTCCTCCTCCTGCCACCCCCATGGGGAAAGGACTCCCCCAGAGCCCTGGGGTGCGGCAGTGCCAGAGCTGGGCTGAACCTCCGGGGGGGGGGACACGGCCCCATCCACGAGGGGACACGCTGCCACCGGGGTTTATTTTAATGGACGGGGGTTCCTGGGCTTCCCCACGGAGCAGGCACTGGATGCAGAGCAGGGTTTTCCCCTTCCCCCTCCCCGGCCTCTTCCCGGGAGGACAAGGACGAGGACGAGGACGATGCAGCCGCAGCAGTGGGGGCAAGGGCACCCGCACAGCCCTGTTGTGGGGGGGGAACCCTCCCAAGGTCGGCGCTGCCTCTGGATGGGCTGCCTCTGAGCACCCCAAGCCCTGCCCGGTGTTTGCACATCCTTGAAACAGGGGGAGGAAGATTTGATACGGGTGGGTGCGAAGGTTTTTGGTGTGTTGTTTTTTTTTGGGGGGGTGTGGGGAGGACATATGGCCATGTGATGCCGAAAAGGGATCTTACATGCCATGGGTGCCGAAAGGGAAATAATTGGCGGAGGGTTTGTGTCTCTGGAGGCAGGGAGGGCAGCTGAGCCTCCTGAATCCCTGCCAGAGCCCAGCCTTGGGGCCGGCCTTCGGGGGGGTCCCGCAGCACCGCGTGGCCTTGGGGGGGGGATGGATGCTGCCTGGGGGGGAGGAGGAGGAGGGCAAGGAGCGGCTCCACGCTTTGCTTGCAGCGGATTTGGGGAGAACCCCCCCAGGTTCAGTGTCCCCTGGGGGCCACCGCTGCCCGGGGCACTCACCCGCTGCTGGAGCTCCCTGGGGATGGCCCGGGACCTGTGGGGCAGAGAGCAGAGGGACCCCCAGTGGGTGGCGTGGGGAGAAAGGGGGCAAGGAGGAGACCACCCCAGGGGACACCTGTGGAAACAGGGGTGTCCCCGAGCCCCCCGTACCTCTGTGGCATCCCGGGCAGGATGCTGCTCACGGCGTCAGCTGGTGGCAGGGCCACGGCGTCCCGGTGGGGCTGCGAGGGGACACCAGAGCCAGGGGTCGGCGGCTGCACCATGGAGCCACCCAACAAAGGCAGGGGTGGCGGTGACCCTGTCCGGGTGCTGTCCCCATCCTGGGGACCTGGGGGTGCCCCCGAGGGGCTCGGAGCAGCCGGAGCAGAGCCCTGCAGCATCCTCTGCTGTCACCACAACACAAGCCTGCTCTTAGCAACCCGGGCTGGGCTCCCTCCCACTGCAGGGCAGCAGAAATCACAGTTTTGCCCTCAAAACCTCCGGCTCTGCTGCTGCCCGAGTGGGGCAGAGCTGCCCCGTCCCCCTGACAGCCCCCCAAAGCCACCAAAGTCCTGGTCCCCAGCCCGCCCCTGCCTTATCTCCCGCTCCCAGGCAGGCTGGTGGCGGGTCCCGCGGCAGCTCCTCGCTGGTGGCACCTCATTTCCATGCCTTGGATCTCGGCTCGTGGCTTTCAAATGCTCCATTAACTTCTGAGCCCCCGCGGCCCCTCAGATCCACGGGCTGGGCGACGCCGGCTCGGAGCTGGCGTGGAGCAGAGGTGCCCAAAGGCGCAGGGAAATGCCCCGCTCCCACCCCGCATTCATCCCCGGGGAGGGCGTGAAGCCGTGCTCCCCACCTCGCCCCCTCCTTTGGGGTCCCCACACGTTGTCCCCAGCCATGGGGACACCCAGCGAGGGCTCCAAGCACCCCACCTGCTGTGGCCCCCCGCACCCGTGTCCCCCCCAGGTTGCTGTTAGGGAACAAAGAGCCCGGTGTGGGTCGATGGAGCCCCCAGCGCTCGTCCCGGGATATGAATTTTTCATCACGGAGCCGGTAGGAAGCAGGCAATTATCCTCCCCATCAATAATGCACGGGGACGGGGACCAGACACCCAGCCCCAGCCTCCTGCCTCGGAGCACCTCCCTGCCCTGCCAACACCCATTTTCCCCTATTTTCACCCCAAAAGCTTCTGCTTGTCCCAGCACCACCCCAGCGATGGGGACAGGGGCGCAGGAGGGAAGGGGCTGCCCAAAATGCTCCCCAAAATGGAGCTGGGACCTGTGGGGAGGGCAGAGTTAAGGGTATTTGCGCTCCTCTTCCCCTGTACCGCTCCCGAACATCCCCACATGCATCTCTCCTTCCTGCAGGGCTCCGGGATGAAAGGCTGCGCAGCCACATCTGAAACCGCAGCAGCTTTGAAACTCCTGCTGATTTTTATTTTATTTTATTTCATTTTTTATTTTTTTTTCCCCGTCATTTACAATCCTCTGAAGCTTTCCCTGCCTGGCGAGCCGTTCCACACGCGGCTCCGCAGCCTTTCATCCGCCCCGACGAGACGCCCCCCTCCTTCCCCTATTTGCTTAGGCCAAGTTTTGTGATTTTTTTTTTTTTTTTATTTACTTAACAAATTGCTAGGAGACACTTTGATGTCTCTCATCTGCTGGCATCGATTCAGCCGATCGCATCCGTCGCTCCCTCTCCCCCATGCCCGGGGGGGCCGCAGGCTGAGGCTGCTCCGACTCGTCCCGTTGTGAGCTCCGAGGTGTCTGAAGCCCTGGCAGCATCCTCCCCCCCCCCCCCAACCCCAAAAATACCTCCCTGGACAAGTGCTAAGCCCAATTCCGTCATTGTCCCCGCGATGGGATAAGCGCAGATTTGCTTATCAGAGCAAAATTGCTGCAGCGGCTTAGGAAGATCAGAGGGGGGGAAAAATCCCCCATTTCCCTTCTTTTTGGTGTCGGAAGCTCCCGGAGCCCCCAGGAGGGGGTCGCTGCCTGCCCCTGTGTGCTGAGCCCTGCCTCAGTTTCCCCACAGCCCTGGGATGCGTGGGGAGGCCTTTTGGTGGCTGCATCTGATTAAACCCGAGCTGACCCCTTCCCGCACACCGGGCTGGGGGGGGGGACATCGGGCAGAGCATCGCTATTCAATTTGGGAGTTAATTGGATTGCGTCGGAGGGCGTTTCATCTGAGCTGAGCCCCATTTAACAGAGACATCAGCTCCACGCTCCCGCCTGCTCCGGCCAGATAAGGCTGGGGGGAGCAGCGAGCCCCCCCTCGGCCTGCCCGCGAGCGGCTGTGCTTTCATCCCTCCCCCCCAAAAAATAAAGAAATTCCCAACCAGGAGGAGCGCCGAGGCTCCCCCAGCAGCTGGGGGTGGCAGGAGGTGCACACTGTGCCTCCAAAGCTTCCCAAAGCCGGGGTCCGAGGGACAGACCCCAAACCCAACCCTAAACCCAAATCCCAACCCCCAAATCCGAGGCTCCCCATCCCTTAGGGCCGGCCGTTGCCTCGCTGCTGCCAGTTTGTTCCAACATTTGCTCGCCCATCGACTGCCTTTGCCGACAGAGCTCAGCAGGGAGCATCCATCCATCAACACCCCCAGCCCGGAGCCTTTCTGCTGTTTTTTTTAATTTATTTTTTAATTATTTTTTATTTTTTTTCCCCCGGTTCTCTGCCGTTCACCGAGAAGCCGCTGGGTGGCACTCGGGGTGCGGCTGCACAAGGAGGAGCCGGGGAGGGGGGGGGACACCAGGGCAGCATCCTCAAATCCTTCCCCCTTGCAGCATCCTCACCCCTGGCAGCATCCTTTCACCTTGCAGCATCCTCCCTCTTTTTAGCAGCCTCCTGCTTTGTAGCATCCTTGCCACTTGCAGCATCCTCACCCTTGGCATCTTCTTCACCCCCTGAAGCACCCTGACCCCTCTGAGCACCCTGACCCCTCTCCGCACCCTCTCCCCTCTCAGCCCCCCAGCAGGGGCCGCGGAAATCGCAGAGCTCCGGGGCGCAGGAGGGAGCCCAGCAAACCCGGCCAGCTAAGCAAATGTTAGGAGAGGTGGGAGAAAACTCCCCCCAATCCTTACGTGCTGCCCGTGAATTATTCATCGGCTGGGAAGAGAGGCACGAATCCATTCAGCGTGAGGGCAGGAGGCTAGGAAAACACTGCCCTGCTTTGTAAACCCTGAGCTGTGCACAGGGCTCTGCTGCCGGCACGGGCCCGCGGGCCTCTCCGCTTTGCTTTCCTCTCCCCCGCTTTTAATTAAGGCATTAACGCCAAAACCCACAGCCAGAGCCCCGAAAGCAGGCTGTGCTGCTGGGGTTTGATCACCGGCAGCCGAGGCAGGGAAGTGACAGGGCTGTGATCAGCGGGGACCGCGCCGTCGGGGCTGTCATGTCCCCGCCACCCACGGCACGCACGCACCATTAGCAGGGTGTCAGCCCCCATCGGCGGCGCTGTCAGGAGATGGGTGCGAGCCCCGCAGAGCTTTGGAGCCTCCAATTTCCCCCCCCCTGCACTCCTCACCCCCTTTATGTCGGGTTTGCTCGAGCCTCCGCACGCTGCCTGGGCTTTATGGCAGCTCCCCATCAGGCTGGGCGCAAAGCAGCCGTGGCAGGCACGGGAAGGGAAGCAATAAAGCTCAGTGGGTCGGAGGAAACAAATAAATAGCTTTGCTTTCTTTTTACCTGCTATTTCTTCTTTATTGCTAATTTTTCGTCCCGCTGCTCAACATCAATTGCAGCGTCCCCCATCCCCTGCAGCACCCCATCCTCTACAACACCCCCGTCCCCTGCAGCACCCTCGCCCCTTGCAGAAAGCAGGGGTGAGAGGATGGTGCCAACCCCATCCAGGAGTTTTGGCTGCCACCTGCTACCACAGCATTAATAAGCAGGGTACCCGCACCCCGATTTGCCCCAAGCATCGCCCCCCAGGCCCCAGAACCTTTGCTCTGTGCCCAGCCATCGTGCGCCCCACGCCTCCCCCTCCCCGCTATTTAATAAGCAGAGTCGAGGTTTAACGACCTGTTATTTTTAAAGCCAGCTGGCTGGAGTACAGGAAGATATTAGCACGGTGAGGGCTGGTTTTGCATTCGCCCCACAGCTCCATTTATCAATACAAAGGGCTTGGAGGAGGAGAACAGCTGCTTTTTTTTTTTTTTTTTTTTTTTTTGCTTTTTTTTTTTTCCCTCCACAGCCGAAAAGTAGGAGACGGAGGTGCCTGGGGTCTAAAACCTAATGCAGCAGTAATAGGGGAGAATTTGCTAAATGGATTCGGGCTGGAGCGATTAGATCGGATCTGGGGCGGGCATGCAGCTGCCACGGGGCTCATCCTGCGAGAGGAGGGAGCTGGGCTGAGCCCCTCCTTTGCGTGCCCCCAGCCCCTCTCCAAGGGCCGGGGAGGTGCCGTGCTCCTGGGGCTTTGCAAGGAGAGCTTTGGGCTGAGCAGAGGAGGATGCCTGCTGCATGCCACGCACCGACTCCCTGCAGAAAACCCCGGGAGGGGTGGGAATCACCAGGTCCTGCTGGCGCAGAGGGATGCTAAAAGTCACTCTGCGGCCAGCTCTGCTCCCGTCTCCGGTGGAGCCTGGGGCAGCAGAGCATCTCCGAGCCAGACGCTGCTGGCAGCCCTAATGTGATTTCCCTGCCCTCATTTCCCGCGCCCTGCTCCCGCCAGCCTGGCTTTTATGGACTGGCCTCTAATCTGGTTAGGGGGGAAGTCGCAGCTAATGGAAGGAGCGATGGAGCCCGCGCTGCCCTCGGCAGGGCGGGTTTGGGGACGGGGTCACTGCTGCGTCCCCCAGCAAGGGGCAGGTCGGGGTGGCTGGGAGCTGGCATCTGGTGGCATTCCGGGGACCGTGACCCCCCCCAGCTTGCTCTTCCCAGCCTGATGCTGTCTCTGAGATGAGCAATCAGGCTCTGAATGGATGCAGCGGCACGAGCAGCGGCGCAGCACTCCCCATCCTTCTCCGCGCCTGCCCTCGGCCCCACAAAAGCTCCATCCAGCATCAAAAGCACAGAGCACCAAAGACGCCCCAAAAGGGACGGAATCATGCAAAATGCAACAGTTTATGCTCTGCCTGCAATTACCGGGGCCGGCGTCCAGCTGCTGCCCAGCCCTCGCCCGCCGGAGCCGGAGCGGGAGCGCACGTGCTCCTAATTCAATTAGCGCTGCCCTGAACGCTCCCCGGGGGCCGGCGGGCGGAAAGCAACCAATTCCCCTTAACGAAGACATTTGCTGCCTCCGCGTGCCTTTCCCCATCCCGCTCATTAGGGCGCAAGAAGGGGAGCGAGTGGGCGCAGGTGACTGACGGCTGTCGCTCAAAGCCCTGCCAGGCGATCACGCCCGCAGAAGTCGAGGGGAGCTGTTGGCGAATGAAATGCAACACCCCCCCCATCAAATTATAAATAAATATATAGATTTTTTTAGGGTCTGGTGGCTGGGCTGGCGCAGGAGCAATTTACACCACGGCGCCGTGACAATTTACACCAGGCACCGATCTGCTTCTGTTTTTAAATGGCAGCAATTACATAAATTAAGGCTGGTTAAGCAGCGGCGCATCCAGCCTGTTGATTTTGCTTCGCCTGGAAAAAAACAACGCTGGCTTTTCCTTTTTCCTTCTCCCCTCTTTCTTCTATCCCCCCCCCCCCCGACATTTGTAGCATTGTGCAGGACCAGTCTGTGCCCCAAGGGTCCCGAGTGCAGAATTAACGCCCTGAGCAAGGTGAGGCTGTGCCAAAAGGAGGCACAAGCCATCGCTGATTCATGCCCAGCTAATAAGCAGGGGTGGTTAATAAATAGGGGTGATTAATAAATAGGGGTGATTAATAAATAGGGGTGATTAATAAGCAGGGGTGATTAATAAGCAGGGGTCATTGACAAACATGGGTGATTAATTAATCCGCCAGGGATGAGGAGATCTCCGACGCGCTCCGATCCTTGGCGGATGCTGCGCGTTGCTGGGGACCCGCTGCACACACCAGGGCTGAGTCCTGCTCGTGTTCGTCACCGCTCTGCGCTGGCTGCTGTGTGGTCAAGCTCGTCTGTGCTGGGCATGGCAACGAATTCGGGATGGAAAAAGAAAAAAGGCAGGGAAAACAAGAGCCCGGCGTTGCGCCACAAGCCGTACGGAGCTGGCTTCGTTTTCCACTGCGAGAGTTTTCCACCAACAGACATTAATTTGCGAAAACGCGAGCGTTTTGCTGAAGCCTTTGATTTCTTTGTCTCTGATCAAAGTCTTTTGTTCTCATTTGCGCTCCAAAGAGGGAGCGGGGAGAAGGCAGCGGCGCCGGGCGCGCGCCTCGCCGCCTCATCCCTCGGGTGGGTGCGAGCATCCAAAACCCAGCTCAGGGCGGCCCCGGGAGCATCCCCGGGATGCGCGCTGGGATGTGCAGATGGCCCGGGGTTTATTTAGCTCCTGCTTGGTATAAAAAGCCCAGGCAATCTGGATTTCAGCTCTCCCAGCCCACGGCTCTCCTGCTTTTTGTTTCCTCTCCTGTCTCTTACATGTATTAAGGAAGGTTTGGGGGGGTGGGGGGGCAGAAGGGAGAGGATGGGGAAGAGGAGAGAAAAAAAAAATTACAGCTCCCAGATCAAAACAATAATCAGCTAAATGAATTCCGCAGCATTTTCCCGCATGACTGCGAGTGATAATTTAGTGCAGCAGCCAGCTGGAAGCAAAAGGATTAATTCTGCACTTAGTGACACCCATGTGAATAATTCATCAGACGCAGACCCCTTTCTGCTGACCCCCCCCGGGCAATCGCTCCAAAGGCCCCCCCTGGCCCGCAGCATCGCTCCCCAGGGGAGGGGGCAATGAAATCACCAGAGCTGTCCCAAATTAACTTTATGGATATTATTATTTTTTTTTGCGAAGGGGAGGGTTTGGGGCTGGCTGCGGCAATTCGATTGATCGGTCGGGGCCGAGGGCAAGTGGGGTTTCCCCCTCCTTCCCCAGCCAAAGATGAAAAGCTGCCAAATTCCCTCCCCGCTGTGACACCCCCGGGGACCACAAATGGTGAAGGATGAGGCCAGCGGGAAATCCGTCACCGCCTCGAACCAGCCCGTCCCTTCGCCACCCTCCGCGGGGAACACTTGTGATGAACACAGGGAGCTTGGGGAGGGCTGGAAACACCATCAGCCCGTCACCGCCCGCTCCTTTATCCTCGCGGAGCCGTGCCAAGGGGTTCCCCAAATCCTCTCCGCGGGGCTGGGTCCGTGCGTGGCACTGGGATGCTCCGGGATGGCTCCAGGCGCGGTGCCAGAGCGTCAGAGCCGAGGCACTGATGTGGGCAGACGGCTTGGCACAGCCACCGCCCCTGCCAGGGGCTGCCTGCACGGGTGGCGAGGATGAGGAGCGAGGAGCA